AGAGCTCATTAACCACAGTTTAAATGCTTAAACTTCTAATAAAGTTAAGGAAAAGTCAGAAACTTTAACATACTGTAGTTTTAATTTTGTGAGTTTCCAAAGTTTGAAACAATTGCAGCCCATTCCTCCTTATGAGGTTGAAAAGAAATAATTATCTTAACAAAGCAAGTTGAAGGGAAAATACAGATAGATAGATCATCCATGGTCTGAGCATTCGGCGAATTGCAATTCCCTAATTCCTACTACGCGGGGCAAAACTGTTCTGGATCGACTTTACAACAAAAAAATGAAACAATCTAAGCGATTAAGCGATTTATTTCCACTATGGAAAGTTATTTGTATACGGATCACGCAAGAAAGGCTTTCGTTACAACGTGTTCAAATTTGGTATCTGAATCACAAAAGCATGCAAAATCACGTGATTTTTGAGAAAAGTGAGTCATATTGAAGTGTTGTTTTGCAACGAACATCGTTACGTGTTAGTGGAATTTCTGTCAAGAATTTGACAAGAAAGTATGAGAAAGACTTACAACTTATTTGGCCACTGAAATGCGATAATGTTTTCAGAAACTGATCTTCTTTCAAGTCTTTAAACTGTTCTCGCTACCAGATCGATCTTCCATCTGTTTTGAAGATGGCTGCCTTCAGCTCGCACAATTTTACAAAATACTGCTGGTTAAAAGCGTTTTAGGTCAAGAACTGCAAACACTACAGTTTGTGTTTTCAGGAAAGTTTCCGGACGTGTTTCTGGGTCCATCTACCAGGAGCTTGCCATTTCTCATTTTCTTGCATGACAGCTTGAAATAACTTTGTTTGGTTTACCTGGTAGCACCACAACCGTGAATTTCTGATTCTCTAAACCGCTGATGTATCACAGGATTATAGCGCTGTTTAGATGGATTATTGCTCCTTCCTCGTGCCATCTCGTCGAATTCATGAAAAGTATTTCACAAACCGTAACGATGTTCTTCGCACAACAGCATTGGTCTAACACTAGGATGTCTCAGAAATCGCGCAATTGTCCCTACTTTTGTGATTCAGTCTGCAAATTTAGATACGCTGTAATGCAAGTCTTCTTTCCGTGATCCGTGTGAAAATAAATTCCCACGTGTGGAAGTTAATAAGGTTTAAGATAATCATAATATAATTTGACTCTTTTTGCTTGCTTCAATTTTTTGTCGTAAAACGTCGATCCAGAACAGTTTTATCCAGCGTACTAATTGTCTCCTAAAAGAACCGTCAAAAACTGACAACCACCTGCTTTGAAATTTTCACAGACAACCGACGAGTTCTTTTTACAATCATCCACCGAAGAATTGAAGACATCAATAGAGCAGAAAAAATCCAATACCACTTCGTTGCAATCCACCACTCCTTTTTCAAAGGATCAACACACGCAATTACGTGATCTTCGAAACCGTCTATCACAACTTCTTCCTCATAGTCCATGTATCTATCCCGATGTCTATTGCGTGCTTGAAAAGCATGAGAGAGATTCTTAAATAGATTTTTCGTTGGCTCATCAGCAAAGTGGAATCCCTTCTTCATTTCCATTCTGGTCAAACTGTAATTTTCTAATCCTTCTGGGAGTTCAGTAATGTCAGCCCATCCTGTGAAACTTGAAGGCGAGAAATAACCAACGTTAAAAAAAAAAAAAGAAAGAAAGAAAAGAAAGAAAAAAAAATCGCATGTGCTATGCCCGGGAAGATTATCTGAAGCTCTGGGCAAAGATGTGCTATCAATTAAAAGCCCAAATCGTAGCTTGACTGCTTTCAAGCCCAACCCCGCCCCCGCCCCCCTCCCACCCTAACGGGAGGGATAGGTGGTACTTTTTGTAATGGTCTAAACGTGAAGGCTCCACCCGTAAGGAGTGCCTTCTTCTTCAGGCTTCAGGCATATAAAATAGCAGGGATTTCACAGGTTTTGGTTTAGGGTAGAAAAATCTCATTTGGTTATTTTCAAGGGTCTTTCATTAAAATATTTCGAACTGTCGCACCTTATGGCTGTATCATTTATAAATGAAATAAAATTTATTAGACACTTCCGTGAAAGTGACAAGACTTCCTTTTTTGGCGACTTATTCATAACACGGGACAGTTACGAAAGGATGTGAATGGAGTACCTTTTTTAATTGAAGGTATACGAAAGGCGCACCTTTTCTGTCAAAATGGTCTACATGAGAATAAGAGGTTGGACGGCCCTCGGAGCGGAACCTCCCCGATTAGATTTTACGTTTTCCACTAAGTGAGAAATTACATCGATTACGTTAGAAGCAAATGTTATTTTCAGTTTCATATGTCTTCTTAGAACAAACGTTTAGGGGAAGGCGCTTCCTCTAGGCTATTGGTGTATTCAAACAGTTTCAAGCAGTGTTGATATAAACGTTACACCACACTTTTTAACTGATTTATCGTCGCTATTTTTGTAGGATATCAAAATCACTTCATCTTCGTGAATTTCGGCGTTTATATTTATTTATTTATTTACTTATTTATTTATTTATTTATTACTTTTTTAAAGGGCAAGGTTTGAGTTAATAATTCTTCTTCTTTATAAAACAGTGTGAACACTTTATGTATGTAAGTGCCTTGATAAAGTTCTGTTCAATTTATTCAAATCTCTATCAATATTATGAGGTTATGTCCTATCTCTATTCTGCTTTTTAATGTCTCTTTTTTTATTTTGTCTATCCTCTATAGTTTTGGGCTTTTTTTAATGCACAATTTTCAGGAAGAGGAAGGAATTCAAATTCATAATAACCAATGTGAGATTATCTCCCAAAGAGTTTATAGTCTCTTTTTACACTCCCCCGTCACCTCTTTGTAACTATTTTTGTTTATGTTTTTTAGAACTTTTTTTTCTCTTATCATTATGACTTTTCGCATAGAAAAGGAATTACAAGTAATATTGACAGTTCATTTAAAGAAACTGAGCTGTACATGCTAAGTGCAAAACAACATGAGTAATCGATCATGGCCTTTCTCTTTTATGCACAATCAAAATGTAGAGTCAGATGACATCAGGACTAAACTTATCAACTCATTAGCATCATGCATTTCGTTCGCTGCTTAACTTCGAGAGGTTTCCCTTTGATGACCGTATACATTTTCTTGCTGCTTTAAGTCTGGCATGTTATCCTCTAAAATAAATTACATATTAACGTTTTCTAAAGCCGATAAGCTCGGCAAGACTTAAAATTGTTTTGGATTAATGTCAAAGTCTGTCTGAAAGACGACTAAACGAATCTTTGATAGAAACCGCATTCCGGATTGTTTTCAAGTGTCATTTTATGCCCCGAGGTTATTAGCCATTTTAGATGTCGACGTGGTATCTTCGTAGGAGAAAAACAATGCTAAAAGCTAGATTTTTATCCAATGATCTTACCTAAAAGCTTCTGTTTCGTCAAAAGTAACGACTCTCTCCTGATACGTCTCGATTCGTTCCCTCAGTTTTCCTCTTCCATCTCTGTAAGGAATCGCCCTTTGCTTCTTTTCGTAATGCCAGCCAGTTGCTTTGAACAAAATCACAGGCGGCCGTCTTCTGATCGAGTCGATGAACGTCATCGCGGATTCTTTCTTAACTATACTCAAACACCGTCTCGTCGCAGAGCGGTAGCATTCCAAGAGGTAAAATGCGTACAGCAGAAGAAACAAAACGGCTGGCAGTGCCGCAATGTCGCGTGGCGCGAGGCCATCGCGTTCTGTTTTATCCCCGACGGCCCACATGGTGACAACAAAGCACGAGAAAGAGAGGATGTTAAGAAACACTGAGCAGCAGGGACACTCCTCCATCCAGTTGTCAAACATGGCTCTATCATACTAGGGATTCAACGTCAAAAATAACGTCGTATACAATTCAGTGCGTTTCAATAATCAGGATATATATGTCATATCTGCGATGTGCGAAGCGTGATAACGCCCTAGTGAATATGCGAACCGAATAATAGCGTTGCTTGAGATCTCATTGGTGGACTTCTAGTTGTCAGTTTTCTGATATCGACATTTATTACCCAATCAATCCGAAAGCTCTTTTAGCTAGCACAATATGCTAAATGCATCACATCATTTATCGGCTCAGTCTAAACACATAGATCAACGTTGTGAGTTTAGTACTCGAGACGTCCGTTGCGGATATTTAATGAAACTTTCCACCTGTACCGCTCCAAATAACAGCTTTTCTTTCATTAATGTCAGAGTTTTCTGGAGAGTTTGCAGTAAATTTGTTTCTTTTCTGTATCCATTCTTGCAAAAAAGGTATCGCGGCATGGATCCAAGAATTGCAAAAAAAAAAAAATGAGATTCAGGAAGGAGATTCAAAAGGTCAAATCTCCCGTCTTCATTTCCACCGTAAACGAATAGCCCTTGGCTGTTTTCCCGATAAACCACTGCTTAAATGTGCTGAAAGCCCCCCGAAAAATAAAGGTAAAAAATATAAGTGCCAATATCCCATGGATTGTTATTATCTTTTACTGAGTTTACATCTAAAGAGTAAGTGCTAAATTGTCGATTTTACGAGACGATAGGTTGAATTTAAATAGAGACATCCGTTTTCCCAATCCAAGGCGCTTTTATCTCATACGCTATACGGCCTTGGCCATATGTTTGGTCAGATATGCGGTTAGCAAACGAAATATTTAAAAACAGCTTTGCAAATAAAGCGAAAAAAGATAGTTGTTTAGACTAGCAATGATATCCTGATAAACAACAAATCACTGCCAATTCCAGACCCTCTTATGTTCTCTTTTCTTTCCGACCTGATTTTAAACTTTTGCGTCTTATGCATGCCGTGGCTGCGATTGTATGATTTAATTGGATTCAAAAAGGCGTTTGCGTTATCTACCACAAAATGCATGGCAAGAAAACAAAAATAAAAATATAATATAGTAATAATAACGCCTTGGGGATTAACAATAAACATAAGAAGTAAATGAATACACGTGTGTCTTGTTTACTTTTACATTTTTTGTCTTTTTCCGTTTTTTGTTTTGCTTCTTCTCTTTTTTTCTTGTTTTTCAAATTACATGTAAATGGATGAGCAGGAAATAAATATTTACTTTTTACAGAAGCCGGTTTGGCATACCCAGTTACCAGATATCAACACTGTCAGTCTTTTATTTTAATCATATCCGTTGCACACGAGTAGCTAGTAAATCTAGGAGTCTATAAGGATAACATAGCTATTTATTTTCCATGGCTGCAGTCAGGCCCTACAGCATACATTCTATTTGCCGTGGCACCTGTCTAGTTGCTTTCACATGATTTTCTTTCTCGGTACTAAATAATAGGAAATTTGACTGTCGCAAAGTATTTGCATTAGACTTAAATAAAATCGGGAAATAATATTTCTTAATTTATGGTAAGAAAAACATTACGCATAATATAAAGTAATCTTCAGTTTAATGATTTTCATATACGTAAGCCATTACCTAAGCCTTTCATTTCAATTCCATTTTTTCCAAAAATCGACCCCAATCATTTTTAAAATTTTATCATGTGTTTATTATATTTTTTGGAGCAAGATTATACCATTTATTGTTGGGTTACCTATCACGAAACCATATAAGGTAATGTTACACTGCTCCAAATCGTATTAAATGACCATCTGTAGGTAACCTTAATAATAAGATAAATGTGAGAGCATTTCAGATACGATCTCAAAAAAAATTACCAAAGGTAAATAACTCATTGTACATTTTCCTGAGTACCAATTAGCAAAGATATTGGAAAAGAAACCTGGTTTTTAAAATGTTTTTTTTTAGACAAATTCAGAAGTAGGATAAACCACCGTTCATTTTATCCCACCACAAATTCCAGATGCGGCCTTTTATTCTCAGTGTTATTTTACTTCATAAGGCGTCTTATTTTCCAATTATAATCACTTTGAATGCTTTATTCATGAAACGAATATAAAACTACCTTTGCTTTAATTTGAATTTAGGTAATGTATGACAGCTGAAACCAAAAAGGCCTCTTCCGCTACTATCGCATCGTGCCGTCACCTTTAAAACTTTCATATCACTTTTATCTATAGATCGATTTTATTTTGATTTCGATTTATCCCAAGTTTTTTTCGTCTTGCATTGAGAGTATCAAATTAGGAAATAGGCTAGTGGATGTTTGACTGGGATTGACCAAACAAGTCCAACCGCAAACGATAGTCTGAAGTCATTTCAACCGGTAGAAAACCACAATACGATTTAGTAAACTTCTTCACTTAAGTCTAATAAGTATGCTTTTTGGTGTTCCTCTTTACATTTCAGACTCATGTTTAATCAAAACAGCTTTCGGAACTGACCATTTTTGTCTTTAATAGAAACGTGTTGTTCCTATTCATAAGTTTTAATGAAGCTGTAAAATTGTTTGCTTCTCGTGCTCACTCTGGACTTCGTTAATGAAAACATGTCATACACGCTGTCGATTGAAATTCGTGTCGAAAAAGCGACAGTTGAAATATTTTAGACACTCAGTAAAAATCTTGTATTACATGCACAACTGGCCTACATACAGCTTAATGTCAGATTGTCTGGGCAAAAAGGCATCCAAACTTTAAAATACTGTCTTTGAATACCGACGTGAACGTTTGCAATGAACATCAGTGTCCTAGCGAGGTAAACAACACTTGCTGTATATTTGAAATGCTTTTAAGTAACCCGACTCCTCTAAAAATTTTAATGGAGCCCCCAATTTGCATTGCAAAAACATATACACAGCTAGTTTGCATAACTATGTCCGTATGCGGTGATTCAAACCTGGAATTTTTTTTTTTTCTGGCATTTCAATTCAGTCTTCACAACATTATGCAACAGCATTGCAAAAGTCAGTGAGTATTAGCAAAGATGAGTAGAAGTTTTGAAACCTTCCTCTTTTGTTTTCAACAAAATAAAGGAATATATGTTCTAAAAATTCTCTTCTTATCTCGTGAAGGCCACATGTCTATCCAATCTACGTTGAATGAAGGTGACAGCAGTGGTTAAAACTCAAATTGGTTCTCGACAAAAAGATAAAGCCTTCCGCCGATAGCATTGTGAAAAATGACAACTCTTTAACATACATATGACACAAGAATAATCGATATTAATTGGACATCTGCTCCAGAAGTAATAACATAAAACGAACAGTCGGGCTTATTTCATTTTGAAAGGTAAGCATTCACCGAAAAACACGCCTAATTTAGGCCTGCTGTTTCAGTTTCGACAGTATTTTTGCGAGCGCCCTTTGGGCTTGCTGTTCTTTAGTTTCGAGCCAATTATCAATTTTTGAAAGAACTGGAACCTAAATGTCCGAGCATAGCAAAGGACATCCCTCGCTGGAGAAGTATGTGACTTTCCTTGCGGAAAGACCAACTGGGGTGGTGGTCATTGAAGCGTTGGTCTGCGCTATCTTAATCCTGGCAGCTTTGGTTGGAAACTCCTTAGTCCTATGGATGGTGTGCAAAAATAAAAATCTTCGAACAATTCCCAATTTGTTCATCGTCTCGCTGGCGTTAGCTGATATCGGAATGGCTATACTTTGCCAGCCGCCATGCCTTACAGTTCTCGTGGCGGGAAAGCGCACCTACGGAAATTTCGTCTGTCAGCTTCAAGGTTACGTTGTCGCCATGCTCTCCTGTGTCTCGCTTCTGACGTTAACCTTGGTTGCCGTGAATCGGTACTTCTTGATCGTACGACCAAAGCACTACCAAAAGCTTTTCACCACTAAACGCACTCGATGGATGATCTTGGGGATTTGGATTCTTTCACTGATGGAGCCGCTGCCTTATCTGTGTTCCAATCACCGTTACGTTTATCACGCAGGGAAGTTCTTTTGCTTTCAAGTCGTCGAGGTCGACTTTTTCACCTTGCTGGGGTACGTCTTCGTTGCCATTCCCACGGTCGTACTCTCATTTTGTTACTACAACGTTTTTAAGGCCCTGAAAGAGCACAAAAAGCGGCTTCATAGCATGAGACGCCGAGGCGACCAGCCGACCACGGTGAAAATCACTATTGAAGACATCAACGTCACGAAAACCTTATTCCTCACAGTATGCGGATTTCTCATCTGCTGGACACCGATTGCGATCGTGGATTTCATCGGGTTTGGTCAAGGGAGCTGGAACCTTCCTCGCGAGATGTACGTCATGTACACATTTTTGGGTCAGCTGAGCACTGTGATCAATCCTGTTATTTATGGTGTAATGAACAAGACCTTCAGAGACGAATACAAGAAACTGTTCAAGTGGAGCGATGGAGCGGATATTACCCAGGATTCCGAGGAAACTCCGCATACTCAGGAGAGTAAGTGCTCTGTCCTTTAGAATAGGTGACATTTTAAACACATACCTTGTAATTTTGCTCTAGGCAAAATGGAGTGCTTTACTAAGGTTGGAATAAAATAATACATCAGATGCATGCAGTAGATAACTTAGCTGTAGTACGATTTAAGCGAACGCAGTTCACGCACGATCGTTTTTCGTGGCTGAGCTTGAAGTGTTTTCCCAAAATCCATGCGTACTTATTGCACACTTGTACCGCACGTCACCAGAGTAAACGTTCGTACAGAAATATCGAGTTAAGCTTCACTAAAATAGTCAAGGTACTAGTCTTTGAATCGAAGGGAAAATAAGCAATAGATTTCAAATCTAATAGAGAAATTTTAACTTTACTGCGAATGAAGGTGATTTCATTTTCGCCAAAAAATATTGGTAATTTAACCCATATTCTATCAAATTATTTCAAACAACCTTGCTATATTTTAGTAAAGTGTCGAATGATGTGTAGCACCTGAACTACAAAACAAAACAAAACAAAAAAAACTGCTCTTCTCAAACTAGCTAGAAAAGAGATCCAACATAGCTCACTGCAGTCCATAGTAGGTGTTTTGAGGTCAGGCGGTCTGTAGAACATGCTGTTTAGCGAGGAAGAGCACAGATGTGATACATGCACGAGCGCGAAGCGTCAGGCCAGTGCGAGTGAAGACAAAAAAAGAAAAACTAGACTTTCATTAGAAGAGTTTGGTAAAGTGTGTAAATGAATTTTATCATAAAATTTATAACGTAAGCAAGTTGCAAAAGGGTATATATTTTATTCTCTGTTTATGTGTTTTCCAACCGATCAAAACTCACCACAAATACAAAACGCGTGAAACGTGTGCGAGCGAGTCAGGATGAATTTTGTTTTTACAACTGATTGAATAACACAGTGGCCGTCTTTTTTAAGAATCAATCACTTACATTGGTAATATAAAACCAGACCAAGTACGAATTACTTTCGAGGCTCAAGTGAAGACCATTCTAATAGTCAAAACTATAGCGGGATCAGATATTATTTGCCATTATTCAAGACCGGATTTGACAGAATCTGTCAGACCGCAATCAATCAAAGATTGCGCCAAATGTTTCGAGTTTGAAAAATTCACCAAACAGTGAAAAGTATCATATGTTTCAATATATGTCTAAAATTTGAAAATATCAAAGTCACAGTTGATATGATGTTTTTACTGCAAAAAGAGGACATGTTTTTGCAGCGAAGAATTGGCACGATTGCGGCCTTAAAAAATAGTCATAATGAAAAGCAGATTAAAACAACATTTGTTTGTGTTTCGAAAAAGTGAAACCGCCACAAAAATGCATCTCCCAAAACAGACCACTTCTTTCTTTCTTTCTTTCTTTTTTTTTTCAAAATAGAGGATAATATTATATGTTATCTGTTATTCTTCACAATTATTAGCATAACAGCTAACTCACTTCTAGATTTATAGTAAAAGGCAATAGAGTTATCAGGGTAGTGGAGCGAATTCAAAAAGGTCTATGATCCGCCAAAGCTAAATAGAATATTGTTGTGTTATCGGTCTAGTAGATGTGGTCAAGTACAGTATGTAAGCTGTAACAATAAGGATTGAAGTAAAACGGATGCACTGTCACTAGGAAGTGTTCACACTAAGTGATATAATAATGATATGTTCAACAGAAAATATGTAAGAGTTATGCTCATGTTTTTTAATGCGGTTTTAAGGGGTTGCTTTTAGGCGTTATTGTTGACGCATAAGGCCAGTTTCTAACGGGCGCCATTTCATTTCATGGTTTCTTTGCCAAATACTGAGTTTGAGTGTCACATTCAGGAAAAAGATGAACTCAGCAGTAACATTTCAAACGCTGTCGTGTGAGCACTCCTTAGTACATTGCATATGTTTCTCTTACTTGCAATTGCAAGCATATATATTATTTTTACACGTAGAAAAGAGAAAGAAAGATCAACAAACCATCACTTTAAGATACTTTACTGGTGACTTCAAAAAGTATACTATTTAAAAGGTCTAGATAGCAGCAGACATGTAAAGATTCTAAGGAAAACGACCGATTTTTTTAAGTTTAAAAGACATGTTTCGACAGAACTTCTGTCATCTTCAGTTAATTTACACCTTTTCACGTTCTGTTGTTACTGTTTGTCTTAATTAGCATTTTTGCCTACTTATTATTCAACCTGCTTTGTAATCATTCATTCAACTGAAGATGACAGAAGTTCTGTCGAAACATGTCTTTCAAACTTAAAAAATCGGTCGTTTTCCTTGGAATCTATACTATTTAAGAGTTTAAGTATCGTAACTGAATAATAATTACACGAATAAAACTCTCAATATCAGTATTCTCAAGTGTCATTCTTTTATGATAACATCGTTAACCATGCATTTAGTTTCAATACCGCATGCATTACAAATTTTTAGACTATATCCGTCTGTTTTGTTGTTGTTGTTTTGCTGCTTTAAAATGACTTTCTTAATGGAAGTCGTACTTCAAGAAAAATTCTGCGACGTCGCTATTGACGAGACGTGTAACATTTGCGCAAGACTAAGAAATATGTTGAGGTAACCTCGCTCGCATCTTTATATTATTGTCTTGCAGTTTTTTTCCTAACTAAAGAAAAAGAAATTAGTATCTCCTTCTCGGTCTTTATGTAATAATAAGGATCACAAGCCACCAACGAGCCAGTTCCTGCTCTCTAACGTAATACACGCGACACGCGGTTATATTCACAGCGACTGTGATTTAGTTCCTCATGCTCTGCCACCGAACATTGAACCAAAACTTTATTTAAGGTAATGATAATTAGAAACCCCCAAAAGGTAAATACAACTTAAAAAAGCAAATAAGATAAATAGTACCTAAAACAAAAACAACTTACCGCGTTGTTGTTGTTGTTGTTGTTGTATACGATGCATTAAAATTGTAAAAAGTTTGAAGCCTTACTCCCTATATTTATATATATCTTATACTCCATTAAATCTCTCTTAATCACTGCTCGGGCAAAACTTAGAAAATTGGTTTGCAAGATTTAGAGCGAAAGATATCCGTGGCGACGAGCGAGGTGGTTGGTAGAAGTTGGGTGTGACTTGCGACCTGCTATGCAACTAAGTGAAAGATTCAGAAGGCCTGAATTAATGTGATATAAATAGGTCATTAGGCCCAATTCACTGGGGCGATAAGAGAATATGTTAGCACTACATAATTACCACAGCACGAATATTTTGTCGCTGAAGCACTTTTCAATTCCCCTGTCATATTGACACAATAACTAACAATAGTACTTTCCATGCCAACATTCGTTTTCATAGCTTTCTAACTGAGACATCCCTATGGTCGTGAAGAATTGCCTGACGACGAGACAGTATTATCTACCCGCAGGCCGTATATCTCTCTCCAGTTAACAATTGTTTCACAAGTACGTCGTCCTTGTCTGTGTTTCTTTCCACTGAATTATACTGTATTTACTTTATAAAGCACGTCAAGGTTTCTATGAGCTACTGTATAATATTCCATGGCCTGCCCTTCGAGCCTCATTAGCAAGTGCGAATTCCGTCAGCGTTCAAATGCTCTTATCCAGGTACTGGTTGTGAAATATGATTGTGGTTTCTTGGCGTAATGCTAACTCTCACTCCAGTCTTACTGCGTAAAACGAGCACTGTAAGCAGATCATCCATTGACACCAGTTTATCTTGACTCACGGTAAGCTCAAACCTGAAGCAAAAAAAACAACAACAAAATTCATCAATTGATTTCATATCCACATTCCTTTCATAATTTTGCTTTTCGCCAGTCTACCAAGTAGCATTGTTACGCCAGAATGTGACACATATACGCAGTTCGTTAAGTTAACGTCGATGAATTATCTAACACTTAATATTTCTGATTGTTTCTAGTAAGAAAATTTTATCATTTCAAAATGGATTTATTAATTTACCGATGAAGAATCATAGCCAGAGTTGTCTTTATTTCTGCCATTGCAAAGTTTTGTCCTATGCAGTTCCTGCAAAGTCAAATCATGGACAAAAGTTAATTAGAAAACACTGCGAAATAAAGGAAAAAAAAAATGCCTACATTTTGGAGAGATGTTTCAGCGTACGAAAGACTCAATCAATGCAATTTTCGTGTCTCAGTTAGGTAACGTTTCGTATTAGTTTTCAGCATCTTTCACCCTCTTTCAGCCCGTCTACTCCGATAGATCAAAATACTGCCGCTTTTGTTCAGCAGCCGCTGCAATAACAGCATCAAGGAAATACGCAATTGGCGAACACCTTGTGGCAACAGTACAAACCGTTGAAAATGAGCCTGGTGATCTTTCCACCTTTTCTTATTATCTAGTTATACTTAAGATGTCAAGATACCTAAGCAGAATTTAAAATAATTGTGTGATCCGCAGAGCATTTGGTGGCATTTCACGGTATAATACAATATGGGAAGACGACAACTCTCCAAAATTAGTCGGGACACTGTCCCTCAGTTTACCTTACATGAATAGAACATGCAAACAATTAAGAACAACTCGGCCGAATATGACTATGGAACAAAACTGCGGGTCTCCCCGAAACTCTACGGAATGATGAGCTGCATTTAGTGTTAGAATGCTGCCTGAGCACTATTTGGTTAGTAATATATCTGTAATATACCTTATATGGAATGGTAGACCTTACCTCACTCCTGCAGAAAATGGCATGAACGCGTGCGGGGGTCGTCCTTTATGGTTTTCCTCACTGAATCGTAAGGGATCAAAAACCTGAAGTTGTATTGTAAGAAAAGCAACGTAGAGATTAATAAATTTTCATCCGATATATTCTATATTGATAATAATTGTCTTCAAACTCTGATCAGCTGGCCCATACGCAGACGTACTTTTTGAAAGAAGGACTTACTTGCAGAATGCGGCTGAACGTTCTATCTTTTTATTTTTGCTCGTTTCTGTTTTTTGTGTGTTTTTATTTGAATCTAAAATTACCTTTTCCCATCGTTAACGTTTTCAGCAGTTTTGTTATAATATATCAGGAGTACCGAGTGAAAACCAAAGACAGCCACGTATACAACAAAAAACGTTCTACAATAAACCATGCAATAACACAACAAGTATTATCCATTTGTCTTGAAAGTTGTATAAATTAACGAAACTCGTTAAAACCATACATATAAAGCAGATACGTAGAAACAATAAAAAAAAAAAAAAAAGAAAAAAAAAATAGGAATAAGAAAACTTGACGACAATGGAGTCGAGTCTTGGTCGGCTGCTTAGTATGTCGGTGTCTGAATCATATGTCATGATTTGATAAGTGTACAAGTTATTTTCTGTCTACCTCTGGATTTTCCCAGACGTAAGGATTACGATGGAGAGCAAAGATATTGACGTACAAAAAGGTACCTGTGGCAAAATATAAGTAAATGGCATGAAATTATTAGACGCTGGACCTAATAGTACAATTATTCTTATTTACAATCTTTTTGGAATTAAGGTATACTACAGGCGAATTTCCGAGCTGCCTTCTGCCTCTGTGTCAAAACGAGTCTGCGTGAAAAACCAACTCATACGAAAACGTGTTCCGCCTACAGGTTCATTTTCATGCAAATCTAGCTAATTTTCATATGAAAGGTTTTACACGAGGACTCGTCTTTTGAAACAGAGGCACAAGGTAACTCGAAAATGGCCTATTTACCAATTATAATTTATATTACTATCACAGTTATATTTAGTCGAGTGTTGTTGGGAGGTAAACAAGTCTCTAAAGCTGGTCTTGTTTTCAATCTGTCTAAGAAACCATTGTAGGTGGCATGACGATTGACTTAAAAAAGCAAGAGGTTAGTCTTACCTGGAGGAACAGTTCTTCCTTGCAAATCGTAATGCTTGTCCGATGAGCGACAGATAATTGGAACAGGAGAGTATAGTCGCATTGCTTCGTTGATGCAAAGCTTCAAGTAAGGAACATTGTACAGATCTGCTCTATGAATAAAACAGTATCGATAACAATGACTGCACTGCAGTTAGCTGGACCATTAACATGTAGACTAACTCACTGCAAGGATATATAAATGGATTCATTTTTGAATCATAACGCAACAAAATTAATTGACTTTCTAAATAGGAACAAAGCCATAATCCACTCAATGTGCAATAAGACAGGGAGAGACCAATTGTTTGATGGTTACCAATGGTTTACCGTCACGTATCTGACGATCAGTGAAGCAATTTTTGGACAGTTTGTGAAAGAGGCATGAATTAGAAAGGAAAAACCTCGGTAACGAGGGTTGGCAAGCAAAATAGAAGCATTTGTGCGGGAGGGGGTGACCAAGTAGCTCTTGTTTCGATCACAGGATACAGAGTACAAGCCAAGATGACAGCACCTGTGACCGGTCATTTTAAGCAGCTCTGTTTCTCGGCGCTTCAGCTGGTTACCAAAGTAACCTGATCAATGAATGATACAAATGACAAATAACGCTAAATGAGGCTTTGAGTGCTAACTTTTGCAGGCCATTGTCTTGTTCAAGTATGGAGTCAACTTCGTCTCGACACCTTTGCTGGTGTTCAGGGTGTAGTGCCAGGCAGTAAAGAATCCAACTAATCGCTGCAAATAAGAAAAATAAATGCATTTTTTTTAATGGGTGAGCGATGTCATTTTCAAGGATAACAGAAAGAAGAGACCACCATAGGGAAAAATAAAAAACGAAAACAAGAACAGTGCCTACTGCATCCTTTTTAACACAGTTCGTTTTCTTTGTGAGAATGGTCATAGTGCAAACACAAGAAGAAAACGTTTGTTCTTATGGATACGTTTCTGGTTACAGTAATAATTCAAGAGGGGGCAAGAAAAGAAAAGGGGATTCACGAATTCCTCACCACTCGTCACCGTGTCCAAACCCGCAAACATGAAAGTTCTCACTTCTGCTCGAATTTCCTCGTCTGTTAAAGCTTGTCCGTTCTCACGCTGAAGGTAAAATGCGATATCAAAAAATGCGATATCAACAGAAATGCCATAAGAAAGTAACTAAAGATAAACTCAAAATCAAAATAAATTAATGATACCCATCCAGACTACTTCTTGATCATGACAAACGCTTGAAACAACTCAGAGCTCTTTATCAACTTGAAAGCAAGAGGCTGACGTTTGAAACGTCATATTAAAAACTCACTATGGCGGGTTTCTATTTAATGATATTATATGCCTTGTAAATATTATAATATCATATGCCTTGTAAAGATCATATGTCATGGTAAATAGCTTATATTTTTATACATATATTACTCTGGGAAGCGCCTCGCATCCTGTCCGCGTTTTCCCTTTTGGGAATTATTATCTTCTATTTCTTCTCTCTTTTTTTTGTTTGTTTTCGTTTTTCGTTTTTTTGTTTAACTTCATTCCCAATAAAGTTTATTATTTTATTCACCTTAATCAACTACAAGTTGACAAAAAACTTTCCCATCCACAAGGGTTTCTTTCGATACTTATAATAACTTTACCCGGACCAATTCAGCGAGCTAGAAATTTTCCTATTACTCAACAAACGGTGCTATTTTAACCAAACCTTACAACACGTTTTGAGCTGCTAATTAAGTTACATGCACACTATACTTCAACAAATAAACAAAACTCACGTCACTTACGTTTATGAAACGACCACTCGAAGCTCATTTTGTTCCTTATAAACATTATATACAAACGGAGCAAACATATTCTTAAAAAGTAGAAAAACTTCGTACCCTGGCTTCGAGAAGGATGTCAAGAAAGTCGAAATGCTCGTCTTTCCGTAATGCTTCCTCCATTGGCTAAAACCAATTTGTTATAATCAGTATCATACTATGATAATATGACAACAGATAATTCTGTTAATCAAGTAATTGGAGCTTCGGGCAGTCTATAGTTGTTAAAACTATATTGGCCAACTACCCTATTAGCTGACTAGCCAAAGAAGCCAAACCAAAGAGCCAGCCTCCCGACAGACCAGATCAGTCACTCCCACAAGTCAAATAGCCAATGAAGCTGCCTAGGCTGGAAAACATCAGATTAGAAAGATATGCGATTAAAAATTAAAGGAAGCCCAACCTAGCATGCGAGCTACCCAGCGAAAAGCCATGGCCAAGCCAATTAACATTGAGACGAAACCAACCAACAACCAGCCAACTAGGCCATCCAAACTTTCTTCCCGATCAATGCAACCATGCAGGCAATAAGCCAACCAATACAACTATTGAACCGATGCAGCCAGCCAACCAGTCAATTGAACTAAACAGCCGATCATCCAACTAGGTCAGCCAATGCGACAAGCAAATTAGCGTGGAGCTGATACACGCTGATTCACCGTGCCCATCGGCTAACTAGCTAACCAACAACCAACCTTCCAACCAATTAACCAACCAGCCAACACAACTAAGTCCAACAACCAGTAGGGAAACCAATGCAACCAACCAATAAAGCGAACCAACCCAGACAACCTGGCCAATAAGGGAACCAGCCAAAAAGGGAACCAGGCAAACATGGCAACGAGCTAACAAGGCTCTCAGCCAACAAGGCAATCAGGTCAACAGGGCAGCAAGACAACAAGGCAATCAGGCACACAAGGCAACCAGACAACAAGGCAGTCAGGAAAATAAGGCAACCAGACAACCCTTGCATATGGCTGGCGGGCCTGAAATTTCAATTGACCAATCAGGATTCAGCAGGCGGGGAAAACTTCACTGTCCTGACGTCAATCAATTTAACAGGAAAGGCAAGGAAAGGTATTGAAATCAGGCAGCTCTTCTCACTAGAGATGGCATTAAATATTCACGAAAAGGGATCTGCAATTCCAAAAACATATCAGATTGCAAAAGTGAAAAATAGAAAACATTTTGTGTCTGCAAGCTTCTCGTTTGGCGTCAAAAATAGGTTGCCGGTGTTCGGCATGGCAACTTTCTCGTAGTTCGTCGAGTGTCGCCATGTAGGATAATAGTTGTGTTATTTTAAACAAATATGCTGTTCCTCGTCAAATTAAACCCGGAATTCTCAAGTTTACTAATAGAAGGGGCACAAGCAACTTTAGCATTGTCTTTATTTCTGTTGACTGCAAAGAAAAAGGCTATCATCGTGTCGTTTTGGTGGAACAGCTCGCTATTGACTGTCGCTCGTACTGCGGGCGCAGCCACCGTATGCAAGGACAAGGCAACCAGCCAACAAGGCAATCAGGCCAACAAGGCAACCAGCGAAGAAGGTAACCAGTCAACAAGACAATCAGCCAGAAAGGCAACCAGCCAACAAGGCTAGCAACTAACAACGCAACCAGCCACTAGCCACTCCGTCACTTTGAAGTCCTTGGAGAATTACTTCAAACACTTCGAATTACGTCAAAAGGTTCATGTCAGATGTCATCGCTGTGGTTTCAGGAAAAGGAGAGACTAATGTTGTCTTGATCATTAACGTTTACGAGACACACTTACCTGATCTATTAAGGCTTGTCTTCTCTTTTTGATTATTTCATCAGCCTTCTGGGCGACAATTTCAGAATTAGTGTTAAACTTTCGTCCAGTGGGAGTCAGGTTGTAGATAAAATCTGAATGGTAAAGTGGATTTCTAAAGGGGAAAACGAGGAGGAAGAAGAAGAGGAAGAAGAAGAGGTAGAAGAGGAAGAAGAGGAAGAAGAGGAAGAAGAGGAAGAGGAAGAAGAGGAAGAGGAAGAAGAAGAAGAAGAAGAAGAGGACGATAGAGAAAAAAAAAAAACAAATACATCAGCTATTGGCGCAGGTTTGCTTTTATCTTAGATCTAGAGTAAAAATAAATTAGAGGCCTCATATATGTACCCAGTCCAGCTGTCAGTGTGACAGTTTCTTCCTCCATTCCGATCCTTTATTTATTTTCTCTCTAATTTTGTTTGTTTGTACTGTGTTTCAGTTATATCTTTGGCGGTACAAAGAGCCAGAATTGGTGGAAATAAGAGAGCCAGTTTCTAGACTGGAGTGGTCAGCAAAGTTGATGACAGATTTTGTGTCAATGTGGTATTGCTCGAAGAGTTAACGTTAATCATTTGGGGTGAACATCCTAAATCGACGCTATTTCACTAGCGTCCCTTCCCAGAAAATCCCTCACACCTCAAACTTTAATCATGATTTAGACACCCTCGCCTAGATAGTTTATTTTTCCTTCTGGATAAATAGCGATTAGGTACAATCAGGAAAACCCAGTCTCTCTAGATCCCTGTCATCTACGTTTAGGCTGGCTGCAAACTATAGTCGCTGAGAATAGCACAATTACAATTATAATCCTTTTTTAGAAATTATTGTCCAGACAATAAAAAATATATTCTGTCCCTCAGTTAATATTTAAACTTAACTCACTATACTGGCTAGGGTCGTCCAATAGGAAGTGCAACGTATTGGAACATTCTTCAAACCCTCTAGGCGGTCTATCCATCCCATGTGGTTTTGGACTCGACCGCACAGAGGGATCGTACCCTACTTTGTCTAATTTAAAATATGTAAACAAATTGCATTTAATATAGTGCACAAAAACGTAGCAAACATAGCAAGCGAGTTACTTACAAAAATCTATCCATGATTGCGCGGGTATTCTCGTGAATCGCTGTCATGAAAGAATCAGGCGTGCTGGGAAAATAAAACTGAAGATAAGCATCTGCTTATTGACCACTTGCTTAAAGTAATAAATATATTTACAGTTACGGATGTAGAAGTGGGCATGATACTTCCAGAGCAAATTTACCATAGTTTAGGATATCCTAGCAGAGAAGTAAATTAAGAATTGAATCAAAAAAAGCTTGCCTGGAACAGCCTGTTCTTATCTTAAGTATCCAGACCTGGTAGGTAATTATAGTACGAAGTTTCAACGGAATGGAGAAAGTCACAGTCGATTTTAAGATATTCAGCCAAGGCTCTACGTTTATTAACTGGTTTACTGATACTCAAGTTTAATTGTAATACATAGTGAAGAATGTGTAAGAGACAAAGCAAATTATCTTTTGACTTGACAATCACTCTGGTAACTGAAGGCACACTTCAAAATTATGTCCAGCGTCAACAAGCCAATGTCGTGAAAAAGCTCCACCTCGCTATTCGTGGATAACGACCAGTTTGCCTGAAATATAACAAACACAAAATTCTTGCAAGGGCGACCCTTTGACATGTGAAAAGAAATCCTTTGCATTCATAAATAACTCCACATTTGCCGCCTTTGGCTGCACTATAGATTTCAACAGACACAAGACATAAGGGATTAATAGTACTGCTCTCGACCAATGAAAATCAAGTAATTTGGATGAGGATAATGAAGTTGATATACCATGTGAAGTGAAACTAACAATTCATTGGAATGTTACTATACGTGCCAAGTACCATGGAATATTTTTTTCCAGGAACTTTGTGGCTTCATTCACCCTCCAAAAATCATTCCTTCGTTCCCTTCGAGCTAATCTTCTGGACACCGTTCGTTTTACATCAACATCAGCGGGTGTAATTGCATCAGATTGCCAAACAACTATTTCCCCCTTTTCCTCGTGGATTTCTTCACTGACTACACCTACTACAGCTATATAAAGGCCCAACCTGAGCATCAGGCCTTATCTTCGAAAAGCGTGATACTAAGGTTAACCGAGGCCATAGGCTAGAATTGAAAATGTTGGATATCAGTCATGGAGGAGGCAAAAACTTGAAGGTATTTCTTAAAACCCTTATAATTATTGTTTCACTGTATTCTTGAACGCAAAAAAATCTCAAACTTTACCAACAGGACTTTTACTGACTCTTGGAAAATCTTTAAGTATGGTTCTACTTTAGGAAAATGAAATGCTGGTGTCAGAAGTCGTCTTGTACTCTTCCATCTTTCCCCCTTTTGAAGACCTAGACCGATACCTGACAATAAACAAACATAGTTACTAGACAAACACAGTCATAAACTATAATCAAACTCAAGACACATTAAATAACTCGCTGACCTTTATCTTTACGCAAGTGATTATCTTAAGATCAGTAGAATTACAGAAAGACGACTTGGTAAATAAAGAAGGACAACTGTTTGTACACGAGCCAGGGGCGAGTTTCTCCACTCCTTCAGTTATCTCTTCTAGAAACTCCTATCATGCATTATGAGAAAGGAGGGTTCAATGACACCATCTATATACGGAATTATCCTCTATAAATTATGCTCAGACAATCGGAATATTTTCTTTCGGTTTCTATCGATAGTCTTAGTTGACTCGTGGCTTCACCGTCCTCAATGCATGTCGTTTATTGGTCATTAAAAACTTCAAGCTTTCGATGCTGCTGTCAAACAAAAAACAGCTAGCATTCAACGCATTCATTCGCATTCATTCATTCTCCACAAACTTACCAAGAAAAGAAGAAAGAAGATGACAGACTGTTTTCTCCTTAAAGGTTGTGGCTAGGATTGGCTTGATCGTCTCAGGATGACAGAGGACAACTGCCGACCTTAAAGGTCCAAACCAAACACGATAGGCAGTCTTGTAAAGCTCTGTACATTCCAGGTGAAACTTCAGGCCCTGACCATCAAATGTAGCCTGTAGTGGACAACAAATTTAAAGTATAAATTTTCAAGATACGTTGAATGGCTTACGTACCGTTGCTTTAGTCTCTCTTTTTTGGGGGAGGGGGGTAGNGGGGGGGGGGGGGGGGGGGGGGGGGCAGAAGTTACAACGTTTGTAATCACGCGCTATTTTCGTCAGCACTTTGTAGCAGTTCTTCCTCTCCAATATAAGAGAGAAAGCCACGGTGAACCACAGTAGACCACAGTGGACCACAGTGCCCCTACCCCGCCTCCCCTCCGCCAAAGAGAGATCAACTAAAGCAGCAGTACGCAGATAGAGATAAAACCGTGAAATACCACAACTCTAAAGCAAAAGTGGCGTTCAGCTATTGCGTCTTCGGAAAGGACGATAAATTTAATGACAATAGCAATGGCAATGCCAGTGGCAGTGGCAATGGCAATGACAATGGCAATGGCAATGGCAATGGCAATGGCAATTGCAGTGGTAACCGTAATGTAATGTAATGGTAATGGTAGTGTAAAATAATATCAAATCCAGTTAATGAAATAGAATATTTGTGCCGGACAACGAAGTAATTAATGAGATAAGTATTGAGTTCCTTTACCTAAAATTCCCTGGATAGAAACAAAGATGAATCTTAGCTCAACCATCGCAAGGGCGTCCCGTGTGGACTTGGCTCGCTTTACCACGAAGCAACAAGCTAAATCGGGGATTTTCTTATCACAGTAGCTTGGACAGCCTCGTTCCCAGGGCTTTTTGGGACAATGTTTTTCAACAATCAAAAACAATTTTGAGATCCGGCTTTTAAGTTTCGTTTGGCATGCTGAGTTTAATGTTGTGATGTCTGATACAGTATATTGCGAGAAGTAATTCGGTGAATATCAGTTAGTCGCTGCTATAAAGTTCGATATAACTAGAATGATTTCTTCTTCTTCTCCTCCTCCTCCTCCTCCTCCTCCTACTTCTTCTTCTTCTTCTTCTTCTTCTTCTTCTTCTTTTTCTTTTTTCTTTTTTTTTTAATTATTTGACACACGAAATCTGAACACTGTGCTGATAGCTCCCAATTCAACGTGCAAGTGGTAGGCTAATACCACTTGGCGAGACGGTCGGCCACCAAACTGAAACCTCGCACGTTACGGAGCCACGTTATCTCATAATGACATACAACACGTATGTATATCATCACGCCACAACTATGCGATTATTTTTGCGATGACGTACCTTGTAAAAATTACTCTCATGAGTGGTTTACAAGATCTTCTTTCATGCAGTCGGTATATATGCGTGGATCGGAATGCATTAGGTATGTCAGGACTAAATATTCTAAGGTAAAATGCTATTGCTATTATTTTTCTGCCCACAGGAAAGGGTCACCAGACATGCAGACGGATTCAGATCAGATATTGCAACAAGCCTGGTTTGTTTGAACATGCTTTTGGCTTGGCTGATTGATTAAAACAACCTTTCATTGTATATATCCTTATATACGTGCTGTTTTAATTCCTTAAAATACGTCCAAATGCGGTCTTAAGCTCAGGTTTTAGAAACCTAGCCACTCAAATTCTTCAAGCCCCAAGGATCCCCAAGGGATCAAACGGCGCAAGAATCTGTTTCCAACAGACGCGTTTGGAAATTACAGACGGTTTCATTGCGTTCTTGGTGTACGTGGAGTGAAAGGTTTATACATGCGCTGTAACTCTGTTAATATCGATATAACGTTTTTAATGATATTTTAAAGGCTGTTTATCCGTCAGATTGGATACGAAGAAAGTCTTTAAAGCGATGAAGTGTGTTACCACGTGTTTATTTATCTCTCAACTACGGGCTGCAAATGTCAAATTCCGTTCGGATGAACTGCCTCAGTTAGAAGATCTCTGCGCCACTGAGGAAACTGAACTTAAATCCAACGACTAACACCCGAGATAACACGGTAAACTGCTTACGAACTATTATGTTGTTCCACGACAAAGAAAATTTAACAAAAAATACTCGAATCACGAGTAATTTCTTAAACATATCTACGCAGACAGCCATGTTTCCCTGCTCTTCCGTGGTTTCTATTCTAATTGAAAGTAGCAAACGTATCCGGTTTTGAATCAGTTAACGTTCGATTTAGGATGATGAGTAGTCCGGAAAGGCTTTGCTAAAAATTAAGCAGTTAAAATAAAGAGAGAGATCAGGCTAAACGCTGAAGAAGATATTAAAAGGTGTGAAACATGTTATACACTCCTGTCGTTATAGAACCTTGAATCCAAAAGGGCAGATTTCCGGGATCTAGAAGATTTACTGAAGAAATGTTATCTACAACAAGATACATATTCCTGATTTACATTCAGTTTTTCGTAGTTTTACTCACAAGGAGAGAGGATTATTGTTGGTAAAATTATAAATCTAACTTAGGTTATCTAATTTTCACATCAATTGTTTCCATACAGGACTGTTCAATTCTAAGCGGGGTTCACTCGGCTACAGTCCGACTCGACTAGTGAAAGAAGTAAGATCACAATTGGCCACGTGCTTTTGCTAAATCGACTTAAGTAATAAGAGATGTTGTTAGATACACAGTCGCAGCCCATTCTGGAGAACTGTTTTGAAATTTCTTGCAGTGTGAACTCGAGCACGCCGAGTCATGATATATCATATTTATTCAACTTTATTGCGTAACGCTGTCAAGTGAAAACAAGTCCAGAGATGCACAATCATTCAAGCTTAAAGCTTAGAGTGGCCAACAATGAAAAACAACAACAACAGCGACAACGAAAACAACAACAAACGATGAATGAAAAGGCAACGGAGATTAATACGTGAAAACATGCTTATTTCCATCACACCTGATCAATGTGTCCCTTGATCCAGTGGCACGGTGGACCATCAAAGTTTCGTACTTGGATGTAGGCTTTGCCCAGAACATATGCGAAGGAGGAAGCGAGGCCGAGGGCTATGATCGCAACTCCAGACAGTAAAATAGAGTTTTGCGTCCACGCGCTGAAGGGCCACTCCAACTCTGGACACATTTCTGATTGAAAGATTCCGTGCGTCTCCGCTGACACTTCGTTGTCTAGTTAGAATTCTTGCGAGTTCTTTTAAGACCAGGATTACTAAAAAACGAGAGATTGAACGGCTTAAAGATATTTCACTTGAATGATATCGATCATGGACCCAAGCATGAGCTTCTCCTCAAACTGACAAGCTAGCCATGTGTAGCCCACTCCAATGTTCGATCACTCAATACCGCTATCGCGAAGGCGGGTAAGAAAACTCTGAGATAATGAGTATATATTTGATTTTCAAAGAATGTCAAATCTTTCAATTAATACCCTTTTTTGTCACCGTGTAGTTCTTACCATTACTTGCCTAATTAAGTGGTGAACGGTAGGGAAGTTGAAATGACCTCAAACCTACCTTCTAATCACGGAAAATTTATGTGAAAGATTTAAGTCAAGCCACGAGGAGAGCGGAATCCTGTTCCCAAGTTTAGGGCAAGTTGTAGAGTGTGCTGTCCAAGTTCAGGCTAGTAGCTTTTATGTCGTGCCTCTTTCCGGAGGAGAGCGCAATAACAATGGCATCCCTTAGGCAATGTCTGTGAATGTTCTGGTTTTCACTACCCTTGTCATTTCGACACAACACACGAAGTTCAACATTGACCCCAAGGAATGTTACTCCGAACCTTGAAGCTTAAAATATTTACATGTTACGAACTGGTGTTAGGTGTCGAATGTCAGTAAAGCGGAATTTTTTTGATGTTGAAAGGATATTTTTCTTAAATGACAATCGATTGTGTCTGTTATTTCGCCAGTCATTTACTCACAAATAAAACATAGCAGCGTGTGACATCTTCATCTGAGGCCGAGAACATTTACATAGGTCTTTTGTTGCCAAAAGAACTGAACATACCTCATGAAACATCAATTACAGATCAGCGACTTCTCATTGAAACGATAAATCTTTGGTAACAACAACTGACGACATATGTATTGAACGATCTGGCATGAGGTTAAATGATATGCCGAGAATGTGTTCGATGCACTGAACAGATAAAAATAACGCACTTAAAGAATGGAATTGCCGTGAGGTGACATCGCTGGATTATTAGTGAGAGCTTTATTCGGTTCACGACCCACATAAGCTTGGAATATAACGCTGCACGTGCATATCTGAATGTTTCAAAACTATATTTCGGCACATTTTTAAGGAACCAGCTGATGTTTGCTTCGTCTATGACTAAAAAGGCATTGGGAAAAACATTAACTGGCATGGTAGCAGCTTTAACTTTCCAAATGGATTTAATAGACATTTATCCTTTTTTTTTTATTTAGGTCTTTTATTGCTTTTTCTCCCTGCCGTAATATTATTCCATCAAAATAATGCATATGGATCGTGGTAACTTTTCTCACTGGATTGCCACTAAGGAAATATTTTAACGTGCATGGATAAATCATATATCACTCGCATAGGTTCTTAATATGTTTCTTCGGTGTTGGTAGTTTATAGCTCCAATATTTACACATTGCCTTTTCAAAGGGATAATTATTTTAGCTCGAGCTGAAAACCTCTTAAAGTTATAATCTTGTTAAAGAGAATTGTCATGACGGATCGACTTTACCAAAACGATATTCCAAGTATGAAGTCAATGTGCTTTAAGGTACTATCTCAAGAAAAACAAAAATAATAATTATAATAACATAAAAATAGAGAACAGACTAAACAGCTCGTTGACGAAGCAAGCTGTGGTAAGAAATACGACCTGCGTCTTAGTGGAAAATATGTTAAGTATGCTGTGTGTCTGTTAGGCATCAATGATCGCATTATACGGCAGCGGTATGAGATAAACGGTATTGCGAAAAAATTAAATTGCCACCCCGGTGTGATCATGATTCATCTTCTTTTTAATAAATGTAGATAGCCAGATTTATTTGGATTTGTTGGAACGTTCTTTAGATGCAACACCGTTGTATCGCTGACGCGACGATTCACGTGTTAACGAGCTGGATTACAATTTGCAATGCCAGCTCTCCGTAAAATTGACATGTTTACAATTATAGTTGGCGACGTTTCAGTTGTCTTAGCGAAGAATACAGTTGGTATCATCATCCAAAGTTCATCAAGCTCTAAGCTGGTACTAGACGCCATCAGTTCAGAAAATTTAATTTTACTTTACAAGTATTGTTCAGAAGTAAGGAAACAGAGAAGAACCAGTATTTTCAGAGATTTAGTCCATTCTCAGCTCTAACACTGTTTCATCGACGCCATTTTTTCAGCTACAAGTTAAAATGATAGCACATCACTCCCGCCCCAGTTCAGGAAAACTCCTTTTTGTAGTAGTTCAAGGTTGATTACATTCATTACATTTTGCACGAGAGATTCATGTCTTTTACCTAATCAATTCGAAATTAGATAGTGATTAAGCATATCTGAAATTTCTGAAAGTGAGTCAGTTAGGAAACTTTTGAAGTGAAGTCAACCACTGAATGTCTCTCATTCTTCAGTAACGCGAAATTAAGTTAGTGTGCGTCGCACATCCTGAATACAAGTGGGCTAATATTAAATGGAATGGGAAGATAATTAACTTAAAGTTTTCACCCTATGATCAGTAACTCGTATACAGTCGCTAGTACAGACTGAGTAGTTAAAGGTGGAGTGTACGATATGTAAAATGTTTCTTTAGGAAGCGGTTTCTGACGGGGTTGCATCAGTGGAAAAGTCGAACTTTAATTACTATAACAAGATTTTCAAACCACTACATACTTGAAGATTGAGGGGTAAAACCACAAATATTGTCGCTGCCTGCGTTCATTCACAGCGCGAAACTCGAAATTTATCTCTAGGAAAGTGGCGGAAACTCCCGTGCAGTTACTCAGACCACTAAGTACATGCACGCAAATTAAAATTGGTTGTGCTTGTTATGTCTGTGCCCGTAGGAGTTATCCACAATTTTCCGGAGTAATAACGACCCTTGTTTCTTTGGGGTTAAACGAGTGCCAGTTGCAGGGCTATAGATCTTATAAAATTAAATATGTTTTCAATATAGATAAAAGAAACAAATGAATCTATGTTACACCAAGCGGGATATATATATATTGCCTTCGAGGCATGGGCCATCGATACATCGTATCCATAACACAACCTTGACCAGATCATTTTGGTTCCATTTCTTTTATTAGAAGTTACCTTTGAAATCGCTACTCCTCGAGTGATTGTTTCCTTCGGACTAAATACTGCTTTTGATCTAAGCTACTACTAACCGACCAACCAGATTTAAAAAGAGTTCATAATTTAACTGCTTCCATCCACAAAGCACTACGTCCATNCTTCTTCTTCTTCTTCTTCTTCTTCTTCTTCTTTTTCTTTTTTCTTTTTTTTTTAATTATTTGACACACGAAATCTGAACACTGTGCTGATAGCTCCCAATTCAACGTGCAAGTGGTAGGCTAATACCACTTGGCGAGACGGTCGGCCACCAAACTGAAACCTCGCACGTTACGGAGCCACGTTATCTCATAATGACATACAACACGTATGTATATCATCACGCCACAACTATGCGATTATTTTTGCGATGACGTACCTTGTAAAAATTACTCTCATGAGTGGTTTACAAGATCTTCTTTCATGCAGTCGGTATATATGCGTGGATCGGAATGCATTAGGTATGTCAGGACTAAATATTCTAAGGTAAAATGCTATTGCTATTATTTTTCTGCCCACAGGAAAGGGTCACCAGACATGCAGACGGATTCAGATCAGATATTGCAACAAGCCTGGTTTGTTTGAACATGCTTTTGGCTTGGCTGATTGATTAAAACAACCTTTCATTGTATATATCCTTATATACGTGCTGTTTTAATTCCTTAAAATACGTCCAAATGCGGTCTTAAGCTCAGGTTTTAGAAACCTAGCCACTCAAATTCTTCAAGCCCCAAGGATCCCCAAGGGATCAAACGGCGCAAGAATCTGTTTCCAACAGACGCGTTTGGAAATTACAGACGGTTTCATTGCGTTCTTGGTGTACGTGGAGTGAAAGGTTTATACATGCGCTGTAACTCTGTTAATATCGATATAACGTTTTTAATGATATTTTAAAGGCTGTTTATCCGTCAGATTGGATACGAAGAAAGTCTTTAAAGCGATGAAGTGTGTTACCACGTGTTTATTTATCTCTCAACTACGGGCTGCAAATGTCAAATTCCGTTCGGATGAACTGCCTCAGTTAGAAGATCTCTGCGCCACTGAGGAAACTGAACTTAAATCCAACGACTAACACCCGAGATAACACGGTAAACTGCTTACGAACTATTATGTTGTTCCACGACAAAGAAAATTTAACAAAAAATACTCGAATCACGAGTAATTTCTTAAACATATCTACGCAGACAGCCATGTTTCCCTGCTCTTCCGTGGTTTCTATTCTAATTGAAAGTAGCAAACGTATCCGGTTTTGAATCAGTTAACGTTCGATTTAGGATGATGAGTAGTCCGGAAAGGCTTTGCTAAAAATTAAGCAGTTAAAATAAAGAGAGAGATCAGGCTAAACGCTGAAGAAGATATTAAAAGGTGTGAAACATGTTATACACTCCTGTCGTTATAGAACCTTGAATCCAAAAGGGCAGATTTCCGGGATCTAGAAGATTTACTGAAGAAATGTTATCTACAACAAGATACATATTCCTGATTTACATTCAGTTTTTCGTAGTTTTACTCACAAGGAGAGAGGATTATTGTTGGTAAAATTATAAATCTAACTTAGGTTATCTAATTTTCACATCAATTGTTTCCATACAGGACTGTTCAATTCTAAGCGGGGTTCACTCGGCTACAGTCCGACTCGACTAGTGAAAGAAGTAAGATCACAATTGGCCACGTGCTTTTGCTAAATCGACTTAAGTAATAAGAGATGTTGTTAGATACACAGTCGCAGCCCATTCTGGAGAACTGTTTTGAAATTTCTTGCAGTGTGAACTCGAGCACGCCGAGTCATGATATATCATATTTATTCAACTTTATTGCGTAACGCTGTCAAGTGAAAACAAGTCCAGAGATGCACAATCATTCAAGCTTAAAGCTTAGAGTGGCCAACAATGAAAAACAACAACAACAGCGACAACGAAAACAACAACAAACGATGAATGAAAAGGCAACGGAGATTAATACGTGAAAACATGCTTATTTCCATCACACCTGATCAATGTGTCCCTTGATCCAGTGGCACGGTGGACCATCAAAGTTTCGTACTTGGATGTAGGCTTTGCCCAGAACATATGCGAAGGAGGAAGCGAGGCCGAGGGCTATGATCGCAACTCCAGACAGTAAAATAGAGTTTTGCGTCCACGCGCTGAAGGGCCACTCCAACTCTGGACACATTTCTGATTGAAAGATTCCGTGCGTCTCCGCTGACACTTCGTTGTCTAGTTAGAATTCTTGCGAGTTCTTTTAAGACCAGGATTACTAAAAAACGAGAGATTGAACGGCTTAAAGATATTTCACTTGAATGATATCGATCATGGACCCAAGCATGAGCTTCTCCTCAAACTGACAAGCTAGCCATGTGTAGCCCACTCCAATGTTCGATCACTCAATACCGCTATCGCGAAGGCGGGTAAGAAAACTCTGAGATAATGAGTATATATTTGATTTTCAAAGAATGTCAAATCTTTCAATTAATACCCTTTTTTGTCACCGTGTAGTTCTTACCATTACTTGCCTAATTAAGTGGTGAACGGTAGGGAAGTTGAAATGACCTCAAACCTACCTTCTAATCACGGAAAATTTATGTGAAAGATTTAAGTCAAGCCACGAGGAGAGCGGAATCCTGTTCCCAAGTTTAGGGCAAGTTGTAGAGTGTGCTGTCCAAGTTCAGGCTAGTAGCTTTTATGTCGTGCCTCTTTCCGGAGGAGAGCGCAATAACAATGGCATCCCTTAGGCAATGTCTGTGAATGTTCTGGTTTTCACTACCCTTGTCATTTCGACACAACACACGAAGTTCAACATTGACCCCAAGGAATGTTACTCCGAACCTTGAAGCTTAAAATATTTACATGTTACGAACTGGTGTTAGGTGTCGAATGTCAGTAAAGCGGAATTTTTTTGATGTTGAAAGGATATTTTTCTTAAATGACAATCGATTGTGTCTGTTATTTCGCCAGTCATTTACTCACAAATAAAACATAGCAGCGTGTGACATCTTCATCTGAGGCCGAGAACATTTACATAGGTCTTTTGTTGCCAAAAGAACTGAACATACCTCATGAAACATCAATTACAGATCAGCGACTTCTCATTGAAACGATAAATCTTTGGTAACAACAACTGACGACATATGTATTGAACGATCTGGCATGAGGTTAAATGATATGCCGAGAATGTGTTCGATGCACTGAACAGATAAAAATAACGCACTTAAAGAATGGAATTGCCGTGAGGTGACATCGCTGGATTATTAGTGAGAGCTTTATTCGGTTCACGACCCACATAAGCTTGGAATATAACGCTGCACGTGCATATCTGAATGTTTCAAAACTATATTTCGGCACATTTTTAAGGAACCAGCTGATGTTTGCTTCGTCTATGACTAAAAAGGCATTGGGAAAAACATTAACTGGCATGGTAGCAGCTTTAACTTTCCAAATGGATTTAATAGACATTTATCCTTTTTTTTTTATTTAGGTCTTTTATTGCTTTTTCTCCCTGCCGTAATATTATTCCATCAAAATAATGCATATGGATCGTGGTAACTTTTCTCACTGGATTGCCACTAAGGAAATATTTTAACGTGCATGGATAAATCATATATCACTCGCATAGGTTCTTAATATGTTTCTTCGGTGTTGGTAGTTTATAGCTCCAATATTTACACATTGCCTTTTCAAAGGGATAATTATTTTAGCTCGAGCTGAAAACCTCTTAAAGTTATAATCTTGTTAAAGAGAATTGTCATGACGGATCGACTTTACCAAAACGATATTCCAAGTATGAAGTCAATGTGCTTTAAGGTACTATCTCAAGAAAAACAAAAATAATAATTATAATAACATAAAAATAGAGAACAGACTAAACAGCTCGTTGACGAAGCAAGCTGTGGTAAGAAATACGACCTGCGTCTTAGTGGAAAATATGTTAAGTATGCTGTGTGTCTGTTAGGCATCAATGATCGCATTATACGGCAGCGGTATGAGATAAACGGTATTGCGAAAAAATTAAATTGCCACCCCGGTGTGATCATGATTCATCTTCTTTTTAATAAATGTAGATAGCCAGATTTATTTGGATTTGTTGGAACGTTCTTTAGATGCAACACCGTTGTATCGCTGACGCGACGATTCACGTGTTAACGAGCTGGATTACAATTTGCAATGCCAGCTCTCCGTAAAATTGACATGTTTACAATTATAGTTGGCGACGTTTCAGTTGTCTTAGCGAAGAATACAGTTGGTATCATCATCCAAAGTTCATCAAGCTCTAAGCTGGTACTAGACGCCATCAGTTCAGAAAATTTAATTTTACTTTACAAGTATTGTTCAGAAGTAAGGAAACAGAGAAGAACCAGTATTTTCAGAGATTTAGTCCATTCTCAGCTCTAACACTGTTTCATCGACGCCATTTTTTCAGCTACAAGTTAAAATGATAGCACATCACTCCCGCCCCAGTTCAGGAAAACTCCTTTTTGTAGTAGTTCAAGGTTGATTACATTCATTACATTTTGCACGAGAGATTCATGTCTTTTACCTAATCAATTCGAAATTAGATAGTGATTAAGCATATCTGAAATTTCTGAAAGTGAGTCAGTTAGGAAACTTTTGAAGTGAAGTCAACCACTGAATGTCTCTCATTCTTCAGTAACGCGAAATTAAGTTAGTGTGCGTCGCACATCCTGAATACAAGTGGGCTAATATTAAATGGAATGGGAAGATAATTAACTTAAAGTTTTCACCCTATGATCAGTAACTCGTATACAGTCGCTAGTACAGACTGAGTAGTTAAAGGTGGAGTGTACGATATGTAAAATGTTTCTTTAGGAAGCGGTTTCTGACGGGGTTGCATCAGTGGAAAAGTCGAACTTTAATTACTATAACAAGATTTTCAAACCACTACATACTTGAAGATTGAGGGGTAAAACCACAAATATTGTCGCTGCCTGCGTTCATTCACAGCGCGAAACTCGAAATTTATCTCTAGGAAAGTGGCGGAAACTCCCGTGCAGTTACTCAGACCACTAAGTACATGCACGCAAATTAAAATTGGTTGTGCTTGTTATGTCTGTGCCCGTAGGAGTTATCCACAATTTTCCG